GAAAACTGGCAAAAAGGGCAAAACCCATGTGGGAGAAGCAAGAGAGATCCAATGTAGGAGGAGGGTAAAGACAAAAGGCAAGTATGAAGGTTTGAAAGCTGCACAAAATGGTAGGGACATTAAAGGGTGAATATGTGGGTAGAAAACGGAAGATCAAGGATGAGAAGAGGACAAACAAACGTTTATGTGTCCTGTTTGTTTAATCTCAGTAAGCCTGCACCGTTGCACTGATCATTAAGTCCAGCATCACAGCCGGTAACACACACATGCACAAACTGACCCACGCTGACACCCCCGTATGTATATCCATACACTAAATGCACACAGGCAAACACGCACTGACCTTCAAGGTATAGGTTGCTATGGAGCTGTGTCAGGGTGTTATAATGTCACCACTTTCATAAAACCCTCGCCCCTTTCACAGTTCACAAACCAGTGAATGTATACTGCTGTACTGAATGTGTTACTGTCTGTGTGTGTGTGTGTGTGTGTGTGTGTGTGTGTGTGTGTGTGTGTGTGTGTGTGTGTGTGTGTGTGTTTGAGTGCGAGTGGTCCGAAAAGGGCTAATCTCTTTTTAATGAACATGTTGTTAAGAGCAATAGAAGGTAAACTCATACGTTCCCATGCTTTGTTAAGGCCTGTTACAGTAGATCAAACGAGGGAAGTGATGCATTTAATCACAAGTGAAATGAAGTAAAAGCTACTGTGTTAGGATTTGGATCTGAAATGTTACTTGAAGCTAATATTTAAATCCTCATACGCACCTAAACGACCCCTTCTCCAAGAACCACTCTGAGCAAAGATTTAGTATTTTACTTTAAGGAGGCTCAAATTATGAATGTGATCAAAACCTTTAGCAGTGTTGTTTTAATATTAAAAGTAGCATCATGCCACATAAACAAATAATACAGCATATGAATGGACGTGCATGTGTGTGAATGTGTGTGGATTATATACAAAGTCTATACAACTTTATAACGAAATAAAGTCAATCATAGTGACTTATTTCACTTTACTTTTTAAAACTGCTAATACGTCTATTCAGTGTATTTGTAGATGTGTGTCCTTTATCACTTCTTTTACCAGCAGGAAGGTTCATTTGTAATGTTTCTTGTTGTGTGTTTGCAGCGAAGCCCATCAGTCTGGTGGAGCGTTGCTGGTGTCGGTCGACCCTCAACACGGTTCCTCAGCGCTCCATCAAAGAGCTCAAGTTCCTCCACACACCCAACTGCCCCTTCCAAGTCATGTAAGTGAACGAGAGCCAAAGATTGTGGTGATTCACTTGAGGAAATGTTTTTTCGGATTGTTTAAAGGTTTGCTTTATCACTCCTTCAGCCATAGACATATTTGTAATTAAATATCAACTAAAGCATTTTTACATATATGAAATATTTAAGTCTATTAAAGTGTTGGGCCTATAGAAATTGATTAATACATTATTGTGATGAAAATAACATCCAATACCAATCTAAATAAAACAAATAACAATAATGAAAAAACTTTACACTCAATCTGTATGCACCTGCATTGTAAAAAAAGAAGATTTAAGGGAAGCAAGTTTCAATAATCAAGTAACAGTTTTACTTCAAAATTTGCTTAAATTAGTGAGCCATATATCATATATCGGTGAAACACCATTGCAGTGCATTTTATCGATTTGTTTCCGTTGTTGTTGTGAGCCTCTAAATATATAGTACATACATTGCTGTCGTTACCATAAATGTGTTACATCAAAAGCACCGAAAAAATCAGCTATGGTTTATTTCAAATAGATTATTATTGACAATCCCACCTTTGAAGGTCTGTCTCGTCTGATCCTTGATACAGACCCAGTGCTTCAGAATCATTCTTTTTGATGGAGCTTTTTATTTTTTAGCTCCGTAACATTTTACCATTATTTGGTATGTTAAAGTAATACTACACTACTTGACCCAAACAGTGTTGACAGAGTGGATGTGAGAGTGGATGGTGTTAATATCCTCCTATTCTCTCCGTAATGAGTTGCCTGAGTTAAAAACAACACCATCCTCTCACAAAGAGGAAAGCGGTGACTGCCGGAGGGGGCCTTATATGTTTAGCAAAGGAAGCAATAATTAAGGGTCAAAGTGATTACCTTTGTATTTCTGCTGACCCTCTGTGTCCCTTTTCCACTTTTTATACTCATTTCGCGGCTCAAACTGCCCAGCAACATTAAGCATAATGTCACCAGTCTGGAACACATGAACCAAAAACCCTCATTCATTTGTTTGCTATAGAAAGCAGGACAGCAGAAGCCTCGAAGCCAAAAGGCTACAAGGCTGTAGGGCTTCTGCCAGAAAGGGAGGGGGGTTATGACTGTTAGAAGGGGTGAGGAGATGGCAAAAGGTCAGAGAGGACACACGGCGCTCCGACACAAACTCACCCTTTTAGAAAAGAGTAATTGAGCCGGCAGAGTTGCTCCGATATCTCTTTTGAGGCAGATGAAAGAAAGCTGGAAACAAGATACCCTCTGCCCCCCCTCCGCCCTGTGTCACACCATGCACCCTCATCCTCCCACCCTCCCTGTCCCAGCATGCTGTTGGGTTTAACTTGCTGTGAAGTAATTACTACCTGCTGCTTGGGGAACTCCGGCCCTCAAATTCCAGCCAAGTCAATTAAGGTTTATGCTCTCGGTTGGTCATCCAGACAAGCAGACAGATAAACAGGATGAAGGACATCAAAACACTCCTGAGCGGATGAGCAAATCAAATAAAAGAGGAGGGGGGAGAAGGGGGACATCCCTGGAGGAAAATCAAACACAGATCCAGTTACTGAGCTGTTTGGCCTCCCGGCTCACATTTTCAGAGCTTTGGATTGATGGTCCTAAACTGCTCTCTTAAGTGTAGAGGCCATTTGCTCATTTGCTAAATGGGGTGAGGAATAAGGGAGGTGGCATATTAAAAGGGTTGGGGGTTCAATTTGAATCAGAAAGCAGTGAAAAGGCAGCAGAGAGGAATGTGTTGAATGTAGTGTGATGGAGAGATGGTGGGAGGAGAGAGCGGAGCAGACACCTCTGCAGTCGTTAACTCTCAAACACGATCTATTGCCACCGGGTTATGGGATCCACATGTTTGGAAGGGGGTTGAGACCACGCTGCCTGTCACTCCGATCGCCCCCAACCCTCCCTGATAACAGAACAAATGCTCTCCTAAATATTTGGCTCACCTCTCCATCAACACGTCAGTCATCACTCAAAGGAACACACACTCCCTGTTCATCACACAGTGGGATTGTTCTCAAGTCCGTCCTGATTCTGCCTCATGCTGCAAATTAGATCCTGACAAACAAGCAACATCTGACTTTAATATCCAATTTTGGAGGAACAAACTATATGGTTTTACTGTTTAATAGAGGTAAAAAGGAGATTAGTCAGTTTTTAAGCTGTATTTTAGTTTTATACTTTCTTGTAACAAGCTGTCAAAAAGCAGTTCCTCTTTTTAGATTTTTTATAAAACAAAAATGCTTGACAAATCAGACTTTTTTCATTTCTATTTCATCATGCCAAAGAGTGATCGAGAAAGTAAAAAACAACACTTCCTTTAAGTACTTTGTATTTGTTGGACGGTTTTTTGACCAGGAAACTCTAATTAAAATTAAGATATGCAGTGTATCAAAGAATCTTGCACAAAAACAATTGTATAATATAATCCTCACAACATTTAATTCTATAATAAAAATAAAATAGCTCCTCAATATTCCCATGACAGAGATTCTCAAAAAATGTCTCATTAAATAAATTGTTTCCTTTTAATTTAACATATCTGTTGAGAGTCTTTGTTCAACATCCTAACATAATTGTATACAGGTAAAACAATGTCTGAAACAATATGTGTCCCCGTAATCATTATACTATTAAAGCCAGAATAGCTCACTTCTTACACCAGCCTGAAAAATGTTCCATTAAACGGTGGTTTGAGGGGTTGGGTGTGCGGTGTAGAGGCAGCTTCACACCGTCCACACAGTGCACAGTGAGCCTCGCCTCCAGCTGTCCATGAGTGGAAACTGAGAGCGGGGATTTTTCACCGCAGACCGGAGAGTGACGGCCTGTTTGGTGCAGTAATCCTCCACTTTTCAACTTGGATGTGTTGTAAGACGTGCTGAGGTCTTTAGAGCTTAGCTGAGGTGTTTGTGAGCTCAGCTTTCAGAAACCACATCAGATATTATCCTGACATATTGGGCTCGTTTATACACCAAGGCACTGTGATTTATTCAGGAGATGGACCGTAAAGAGAGTAGATGTTTTAATTGTATGTTATTACAGGAGCAAACTGAAATCTGGGTTCCTTTTTTAAATTTTTTTAAAATGCTGAAGATCTGTGAACATTATGGTGACAGTTTGTCAATACTCTGGTTTTAACCGGCATTTTTTGTAGGATGTCTTCATTTTTTTTTTTAAATAAAGTTGAGCTTTTAATGAAGTGGGATTTCATGAAAGATAAATAATTACTGTCATTTATTACCTATGAAGAATCTGTAATCTTCAGAGCATTATTTAATCAACTTCAACAGCATCACCTCACAAACTCAGCTTACAGTATTACCATTTATAACAATTTAGGGAATAATAAATGTTAGTTACAGCCATTTAGTTGAACAGACCATAACAGTGGTTTGTGTGTTTGGGTTGGCTAACTGCAAATTGCCTATATTGTACATTTCTTCCTACCATTATGTTATGTAGAGGTTTACAATGACCGGAACTTTCCAATGTTGCAAGATGCCATTCATTTTTTAATAATTTCAGCACTTGATGCATCACCTTGCAGAGATTAGAAATGTGAGACAAAGATTAAATTAAAAACTACCTAATTGCCAAAATTAGTGTCAGCATTCCCACATTCTAATGCTATAACAACATTTTAATGTCAAATCAATGTTCAAATCTTAAAACGCATACATGTAATACACACATTTTGAGATATAGTGTTACTTATACTCTCAGAGGATATCATTATCTTAATATAGACACCATAGAAAAAGGATGCCTAAATTCAGAACATTTATTTTTAGTAATACAGTAAACCAGTGATAGTTTTCTGTACAGACATGGCACATTTAAAACAGGAACTGCTCATAGCAAAATCAGCATGCTTTCAATAATACCAATATTCTCCAATATTAACCAATGTGGGCTATAACTTCAATTGTGTCTTATAGGGGCCTACATTTTTTTTAAATATGAAAATAGTCAACCGTCATTTCAAATATAAAGTCTTGTAGTAATATTATTCAACTTTATTTACACATTTGATCGAAGCTACTGAGCTAAACATGCAAAACCACCTGTGTGGTCCTAGGAAGTACAACCCAAGAAGCTAGACACAATTAACTTACTTGAAAGAGCGTTCAAGGGATGAGACTACTGGGAGGTCTTATTACCCTTATTACAAAGCTAATAGAATAGATACAATCTCTGTCCTGTACACCATCACTGGATGTTCTGCTACAAAGGAAGCCCCCGGGTGAAAATATTCTCCAGTAAATGTCCTTTAACCAGATTTATCACATGTGAGTTTTTGGCGTCTAATCCCTCAAATTCTACTTGTTTCCTCCCACAGTGCCAAGCTGAAGAACAACAGGGAAGTTTGCATCAACCCGGAGACCAAGTGGCTGCAGCAGTACTTAAAGAACGCCATTAACAAGTAAGAAAAGAAAAAGCTCTCTCTCTTCCATCGTACAGGAACAAGCATCAGTAACAGAGACAGAAATGAAATACTGCTCTCTTCTCTGCTGAGCGTAGAAGAAGAAACAATCCATTGTTACAAATGGTAATTTCTCAGTTTCCCGCCGACAATTATTCTGTGAAATCAATGACATGGTTGATGCAAGCAGCAGAGTTATTATCTGTCAGCCTTAAGAGAGATAAGTGACTAATCTACCACCGGTATTTCTGCTTTTTGTCTGACTTTTTTTCTCATAAGCTTGTTTCTGTGACTTCAGAGGAGTGCACACGAGTCAAATGTTCACCATTGTACCCTCCCGGCTTCCTCACAGCTCACATAAAATCATGTGTTTGTCCACTTTTTCCACAAAACTATCATCACTATTGGCACATTAGACGCAGAGTTGTCCTGGTTGGGGTGCGACATTATGCGTAAAACTATTCATAGTAAAATCTGCAGCAGCTCATTCAGTTTTTAATGAGCTATGCGGTTAAAATGTGTGCATTCCTCGTAAAAAAGAAATCCCAGCATGTCTGGTGGTGGTTAACGACAGGCTGCATGTCTGCTTCTTAAAGCACCATAAACACTTTAAGCACAACATAAAAACAAACAATAAAGTAATTTCTGTGGATTAAAAACCTGATTACTTACTACTATTAATGAAAACAGAAGCCCTTAAATAATGGCTTATTGAAGAATGCTTGTGGCACATACACATACTGTGTTTAGATCGTAATTGTTAAGCAAAAAGTGTGTCGGATAAATAGGCCTTGTTTAAGCTTTCGGCATTATGAGCTTATTCAATGAGGTGTTTCATACAGCTAACATGTCAAAATGACAAAAGGGAACATACAGAGTTCATCGTTGGAAGAGAAAATGTGCTTTTCACAGATCATGATAGGCGTCGTGTGTGTGTGTGTGTGTGTGTGTGTGTGTGTGTGTGTGTGTGTGTGTGTGTGTGTGTGTGTGTGTGTGTGTGTGTGTGTGTGTGTGTGTGTGTGTGTGTGTGTGGTATTGCAGTCTCCTGTCTGCTCTTCGTCAGCATCGCCCTTTTTCATGTTCGGTTAAAGTTACATATTCTGTAAATCATACGGTATGCTGTGATGTTCACCTTTCAAAACTGTTGGCCAACACCTGAGGCCCCGATCTTGTCAATGACCCTTCTTCGAAAAAAAACCTCTTTTCATCTCCTAGCAATTATATTTATATAAACCACAATATTTTGTCAAGTGCTAGAGGTGCTACATTTATGTAGTTCACACAAGTAGGTACGGAGTTGTTTGAGGGGAAATAACGACTGTAAGAATTGATAGTCTGAAAGAAGGGATTGTTAATGAAGTAACATTTCTCAAACTCTCAGTTCATGAAATATCTATATGTTATCTCCATCTTGCCTCAAGATTAAAAAGGTTTAATTTCATATCATATACACAACTATGGTGTAGTTATGTAATGAATGAAAATCGGAAAAGGTTCCTCAACAATGCTTTATCTGTTCCAAACATTTAGAAACAACAACCTTTTTCTCTTTTCAGGCTAATACAATTTTTTTCTGTGTTTCTCTCCAGGGTGAAGAAATCTAGAAGACGCAATGGCAAGAAAAACTAAACACAAGGGAAGACGCGCAGGTTGTCAGGCCCCCCCCCCCGGGTGGAACCTGTATACCTCCCTCACTGCTATGGATGTATCCAAACACGCTGTATGTACCCGTCCACCTCTCTGGACCACTTGCAAAACCAGCCCTTCACCCCCAGACTGTGCCCCCCAGCACCGCCACCGACCCCCCCCCCACACCCACGCAGTCACCTAGACTCTCCATGTTAGCACCAAGTGCCATTATACCTCGAGTGACGGGATAGAGAGCAACTAACTGATTGTGTCATCATTTAGTCTTTTCTTACTTCGCACAATGTGAAACAATTTGAGCTTTTTGCCTCAAAACACTTTGTTCTTAATGCCACCTTTGTCACGTCAGAAAAAAACATTCAAATCAGTATTCCAGAAGGAATTACAATTGGATTTTGTTGGCTGGTTATGTCTTATTAATTATACACCTCTCCGTGTATACATCTTTTGAAAAGGACTAAATGCTATTTCAATGGACTATTCCCGACTGAAATGTAAAAGTTTCCTCTGATAAGAAGTGAAAGTGGCATTACTCTATGGCTAAAAGGTCATGGGGCACTAACAGACCAATCAGGGCAGGCCATGCAGGCCAACAGAGTCTTTAAAGTCTTCCAGCTTCCTCCACCATGGACGCTCACACACGCTGCCTAAAAAAAAGCACTGATTTTGTGGTGCTATATATTCCATATGACGGGGGCCGGAGCCATAGATATAATTATATTTCACTGTTTGTTTTATGCAAGATTTATGATGGGATGTTGTGACCTCTATGTCTTTTTTACCATCACAACGTGCTGTCGTTGGAGTCTGACGAGGCACATGAAATGGAAAGCTGATGTTGTGCTCAGGCCATACTCTACTGTTAAAGACTATACAACTAATACTTATGAATGCAGATTTTTAGTTCTTGAACATATCATTTAACAGAGACCAAATATTTAAAGATAGTAAAACGTGCAACATGAAGAAACCTGTGAACCTCAAAAACCATGGCCATCTATTTCATTTTATTGTTAGAAAGATTGTCATAATTGTTTTTACACCTTATCAAATGGACTTTAGTTAGATGTATAAATGACAACGAGCATACCACAGCAGTATTTCCATACCAACACCTGTCCTTGGTAGGAAATGGGAAGCTTATAAATGGTCGGCCGAATGATAAATATCAGAAAGGGAAAGTTCACTTTGGCAAAAGAAAGTGTTTGATCATGTTTTATATATATGTATTTGAGCCACTTTATTATCAGATGTCTCTTTTAAATGTAATTGTTTTATTTTTATATTGTGTATAATCTTACTAAATGTTATTTGAATGCAATGTACAGTAGGCACTAGCTACTTAATGAAGGCTAGTCCAATGCAAGAACCAGTGTTAAACATATTTTTTAAGGTTTTAGGCAATAATTCATAAAGGTATATCGATGTTACTACACAGTATGAGAGACTAAAATACAATTTCTAATATTTTTTACTATGTGGATAAATGATTAGCAAAGAAATAACATATCGTCCTCCTGGTTTGTTGTTCTCCGTGTCCTTATCAACCAATCTGCTATGTAACAGCTGAATAAAGTTCAAGTGAGAGCGATTTTAAAACAAAAAGCCACTGTCATTGTGTTACACGAGTCAGGAAGTCATTCAGCCCACCGGTCGACCCCCTGAACACTTGATTTGATTTTTATAGATTTACTGAGGTTGATGAATGATGTGACATAGGGCCACTGAGCCAAAACAGAACATATCATTTCAGTTGAAATTCAAGCGACCGACATGTGCTTCCAATGTGGACACTCCCCGCTCCCCATGGGCTTTATTTTCCCTTTCACTCAACTGCTGCCATACCGAACATTTCCCCCCTCTTAAACTGTAATGTAAGCCCCGTTGGTTTTGGTCATTTCTCTGTTCTTTGTTTTGTTTTGTTCTTTCGGGTCTATTTGCTGTGAGTGCCTGATCACAGGTGATACTCATACCAATTTGCAGCTAATGGTGCAATAATAAATGTAGTTCAATTACCATTATTGTAATAGGAGGTAATGGACATTTTATATTATTATACTAATTTGTTTAAACACATTGCCGTATAAAATAACACTGTTCCAGTTTCAAAATGCACTGATATGCAATGATAAACTTCTAATGTGATTCATTGTGCAATTTCTGGACAAAACACCCCATTACCAAAATACTTTATGAACTTAAATCTTTTTTAATCTAATATGCGATTATTGTCTCTATAACAGGAGAAGGATATTGCATTACAGTACATGTGGAAACACTTTATTAACCACACTGTTAGAACTTGTTTTCAACATTAGTGATATTAATCAGACTATAAGTGCTTTCATGTTTAGCATTGTGGCCCCACATATTCAATGTGATTATGAGTAATACCAATACATCTTCATCAGTGTGCAAAAGAGCTTTTCAATAAGTTTGTGTGTGTATTATTTGAACCAAAATACACAATCAGGTTCATATTTACTTAACTATGGTGCATTCATTATCAAAGTGGGTGCATGTGTTCCACTTTGGACCCCGAGAGAATGTGAAATATTTCTTTTGAGGCAGCTTCTTCTGACATATGTTCTTTATATTCGTGAGATTTATTGGAGTATTATTCTCTGTATTGTCACTGTTTGTAAACTGAGAGGCAGTATTTTAACTATGATACTCAAGCCCTTTTTCAATAAAGTCATATGAAGTCAAATCAGTTACATGTCTGCGTTTTAATTCATTCAAACCAACATTATGGGGCAGAGAAGTCTTCAAACAAATTCACAGAATAAAATCCTGGACTGACCCTCGCTAAAAAATGTTACGGCTGGCCTTTTGTTCGAGCCATTGCCATTTCCATCACAACATTTGGCACAGATAATCCCAATCTCTCTATGCCGACGACCTCTTATTATTCCTAACTGGTCCAACTTATTTCACTGTCTCAAGGAATCCTGGTCTTTAGCTTGTTAAATGGTAAATGGACTGTATGTATACAGTATAGCACTTTATTCAGTCTTTAAGACCCCTCAAAGCGCCTTACATTACCAATCACCCAAATTTACCCCATTCAGAGCAATGTTTACTTGTTCAAGGAAAAGCTGACTTTGTCATCAGGAGCAACTGGGAGTATATCTTATCCAAGGATACATCCACATGTTGGGATGGGATCGAACCCAGAACTTTCCGATTGAAAGACGACTGCATACTGCCCACTTCGTTGGATGATGTTAGAGTTTCTTCATCAGTGACTGTTTTGTTTTTTTGCTCCCAATTGAAGTCAATTCAACACCTTTTAAAGCCCAATGTCACACATTTGCCTCAATGGGGTTTACAATGTCTACACAGCATGCACTACACTCTGTCTTAATTCCGATAAGGAAATGCAAAAATACTGTATGAACTCTTTGTCATTACAGCTTAAATGAAATTTGTATTAGTATTTGAGCACCCTTTGTTACCTAGGGGACCTGAGGCACGAGAAAGATTATGTACAGCTTATTATCATTAATCAAGACCACAATCTTTTCTCAACCTATTAGGATGCTTCTGCGCAAATTCATGGTATGACTTGTTTGTAATGTGGGGGCTTGAATTTCAAATAATGACCTATAACAGGTAAGAGAGTGTTGGTCCTTAGTGGGTTCAGCACTGTGAGCAGCGAACAATTTCACAATACTGGGAGTCATTTAGTTTAATAGTAATACTTGAGTGTCAATTAGTGCATTTTTTATGTGGAAAATACCCGGCAGAAGATATAACTCTCTTTCAAGAACTGTCATGAGAAGTTGCATTCTCATTTTGATGGTAATAAAAAATGGCTGCACATACCCAGACAGGTGGGATAAGTTACACATGCACCTCTCATTCCAAAAAGAGAAATGATACACAAGGGAGCAGACTTCCTCTTGTAGGTTCACCAAAATAATCCGGCTCAAACTGAAAGGCATCAACAGGCCAAATCCTCAAACAAACAGTGTTGCCATGCGGAGGAATCTCCACTTTTTGAGGCTTGATGAATAATTCAACAGTTCTATCACTTGACATGTTCCACCTTAGAACTGAAACCTTTTCCCGCAAATATTTCCCTTTAAAATAGGAAAGGCACATGTAATGACCATTAAAATCTCTGTCTGATAGTCTAACACCTGAGGTTTGAAAAGTATTCATTTGTGCTGGTTCAATACTCGTCCACTGCACAAGGGAGCCAATAGAGTTATTAAACTGTCAGCCCTAATAAAGTTGAACTATGTAGAGCAGATTAATTTCATGGTACAGCTTCTACCTCTGACCTGTGTGTGTGTGTGTGTGTGTGTGTGTGTGTGTGTGTGTGTGTGTGTGTGTGTGTGTGTGTGTGTGTGTGTGTGTGTGTGTGTGTGTGTGTGTGTGTGTGTGTGTGTGTGTGTGTGTGTGTGTGTAGTGTACGTAAGTGTGTGTGTGTGTGTGTGTGTGTGTGTGTGTGTGTGTGTGTGTGTGTGTGTGTGTGTGTGTGTGTGTGTGTGTGTGTGTGTGTGTGTGTGTGTGTGTATATATATACGAGGAACATGAGACACGTTTTGGACGTGGACCAAGCTGTTTAAAGGGCGAGAGTTGCATATTTGGGCCTTTTGGGCACATTCAGGAATGATTATGTGATTTATTTACTGTGCTTTCTTAGCTGAGAACAGTCCATGGTGGGGGTGGCTGACATATGTACAGAATTTGTATCAATATATATTTTTACTGCTAATCGCTCTGATCAAGTTCAGCAAAGGTTTTTACAACAAGAGAGAGAGACCTCAGGTCAGTTACAAATATTCTTGAAATCTAGATAACATTTTACAAGCGAGTTGTGACTAATAAAATAAGGCCAGTGGGCTCACTGCAGTCCAAATCCGTTGTGCACCGTCCAGTGAGAACTATGAAAGCACAGAATGATGAAGAGTCATATGAAGAGATGAAGCAGTAGAGTAAATGTTGACAGAACATTTACGAGATAACTGGACCTCACACAGTAAAAGGAGACAGCAAAAGATATATGATGAAATGGTGCATGCTGCACACTAATTATAGTATAGAATAATAGGTCATGTGTGCTTTCAGTCAGCATATACAGGTTGAAAGATGATGCAGTCACTCTTTGGCTGATCAGACACATGATGGGTAATTCTTCATTCATTCATTTTTCATTAAAATCAAATCGCAGGTGTTGAACTTATCGACTCTCACTGACTGAGAGTTTAACTTTTAAGCCAAGCACATGACTTGTCATTGTACTTTTAAAATAAAAACACAGTGTCATAATAAACAAGCAAGTGGCAAAGTCTTATATCAGGAATAAGACTTACAGCCATGCTAGCGTGTCTGTGAGGCCAACAGTATGACAATGGCGATGCTAAAATGAATGAGACATTTGCGACAAGGTGACTTTCAACTTGGACTCTACTGTTTGATTTAGCTTATGTTAGAAACCTTGCTACTATACACCTGTCCTAACGGTCATCTTAATATATGCAATCAAAGTATTTTCTATGAATCTTCCTTTATATTGAATGAAGTAGTAACCACAAGAAAATGCTTCCCTAAGCACACAGCAGCCTTCAACTCAAATCAGCGGAGACAGAGAACATAACCAGGTCGGACAACAAACTGCCCGGCTGATTTGGTCTTGGAGGTTGTGGGTAATCCAGTGTGATTTGAGGCTGTCGAGCAAACATCTTTGAGCAACTAAATACCAGCCAGCTGAATTGATGTTAATAGGAAACATGTTGACTGAACATGTGGCAAAACCACACAAGGTAGGGTGTGTGTGTGAGTGTGTGTGTGTGTGTCAGCAAAGGATGTGAGTGGGACAGGTTCACAAACTAAGTGTAATTCCTTTGGTTTCCTGAAGAAAGTCACAGATTGAAAAGAAAGCAGACGCTAACATGATGTTTCCTGGTGAGGATTTGTGAACATGGATCTAAGGCTGCAAGATCAAGTGACCACACGCACACGCACACGCACCGCAACTAAGCAAGCTCAAAAACATATAGGAATGCGTGGTCAACCTTTCGGTATGGCTGCTGACCTATAGTAAAGAGGAAAGTATTAACACACATATGCAGGAGCTAGAACGCACATGGAGACACAAGTGCATTAAGTTGTGAATCTCAAAATATGTAGATGCAGGTTTCTGTGCAATGGGGAAATTAAAGGTGCCACCCATGACGTTCAAATGGATCTGAAAACTCCAAAATGAGAAGAAAAAAGCCTTCAGGAAAAGTCTAGTCTTGTTTAACCTTTACTGTCTTTTTTGGCATCTGGGAGAAACTCTAACAGTATCTGTCCATGGCTGGTCTATACGTGTTTCCACATTTTGAATCGTTGCAATATTCTACATTTGAAGAGTGTTAAGGGTCAGAGTTCTGTCACGTATATATATATCTCACAAAGTAGTTATATGTGAATTATAGGGAATTACTTTTTGTAGGTTTAAGTATAAACACTCAATGAGAACAGCCTGAAAAGACAGAGATTAACAGATGTGAATGCTCCACATAATGTAAAACTTTAATCAGCCACTGAGTTTTCCCATAAGGCAGTGCAGGATGTTAATGCACTCTGAAGTATATGAAGCCAGCACACCTGATTAACCTCACCCTAAAGTTGACCGCTCTGTGATTCCTTTAGCAACATGTATTTGAGTCCCTCAACTCACTGACTGTGTTGTGACCCCTTCAAATAAATGCAAGCCGTGGTTACCCCCCCAAAGACATTCAGCTCCAGGGCCTTAACACACACACTATCAACAATCGCCATCAACAAACACGGGGTCAGAAAGACGGATGAGGTTTGAGCCGCAGTGATCGCTCTTTTTATATTAAAGGGGAGAGTCGAAGGCAGTGCCGTTGTTGAGGGAGGAAAATTAGCATGAAGGGTTCACAATTCACAGAAACCACATATCCCACAAGACACTTGTTCTTTATCAAACCGACAGCTGTTAGTGTAAACAGCTCTGGGGGGGAGTCGGAATGTCTTCAGATCTATCATGGCCGAGCGTTGTGTCCCTAACCTTGCAGCGGAGAAAAGGGTCATGGGTAACGGCAAACAGGTTGATCACTGTTTCCATTCAGGGCAGGCGCTTCCTTTGGAGGGTGGAAAAGATTAAGAAAAAATAGATTAATTTCATCATTCATCAGCATTGAGCCCTAACTGTTCCACAGCAAATAAAGGAATGTAATACATCTTTGTTTATTAGCATTTTCTGAAAAAAAGTCTGAGAGAGGAAAAAGGGGATGTCATCCTTCACAGCTCATTTGTGAAGACGTCACTTACAAAAGGCTCGCAATGATCCCCATTTAATGAGTCATTCCACTGTGATGCAAGCGGGCTGTGTCTTTGTTGCCTGGTTATCAGACTCCTCTGCTGGCATTTAACAGACAAGCATCATTAAGTTAGCGGAGAGTTGACTTCCCAGCTATTTCCTTTTGTAAAGCAGACATGCCCTGCAGGCAATACTGGACCACTTTGATTCCACTGTAAAAGACGGAATACAGTTCCACACTGTATTCACTATTAAGGTGCCACCAGAGGAATATTGACAGATAATCATATTATGCAATGGTTTATCGAGATGCTCATGCATTACCAAGAATCATTGGTATTGTGAGCCTGAAAAACTCATGTTACAGAGTAGCAATTAATATCTAATATATACATATACTTACATATATATGTCCGGCAGGGGCTCAG